TTTTTTGCCAGTTTTGCGATATCGGCAACAACAATGTAGGCACGTGCATGTATAGGTATATACATAAGTTTCGATGAGTTTTTTTTAATGTGCGCATGAATGCATACTGTGCTGTATGTGTGTTTGCAACTACGCTGTTGCATTGTTGTTGTTATATTTTTTGTATTGATTTTTTTCATTTGGTTGTTTGGTGGCCGGTTTTCAATTTTGGTATTTTTTCTGTTATTCTCTTCGTTATAATGGTTTGTTTTTTCTTTATTGGTAGAATAAGAGAAATTCGCAATGATTTCAGCATTTATAACAAATCATATATATATTTATATGTGTGTGCGTATGCATGGGTTGACGCTATTTTTAATATTTATAGCTTAAATTTTTATTGTAAATGCCTATTTTTGCGTTTCTTTTTTATTCGATGTTGCATTTTTTTTATATACATACATATGTATATATATGTATATATATGTATATACCTCCCTACATCAGGAATTTCCGACCTTAGCACTGTATCAAAAATTCATTTTTGGTCTATTTTGGTGTCAGCTGATTTTTTGTTTGTTTACAAATGATAATTTTTGGTATTCTTTTTCATTGTTCAGTAGGTATATACATATGTGTGTACATACCCATTGTCACTATGCGCTTCGTGAAGTTTGAAACCATATCTGTTTTAATAAGTGTGTGAATTTCATATAACCGTAAAGGTGCTGTCAGACATAGCAATTGGTTGGTTTCAAATTTCATGTCAAAATGAAAAAGTTCGAGATTTAATAATAATTTAATTTTAATATTTCTAAAAACTATAGTTTTTTTACAATTATTTGTCAAAAATTTTCTCTAACAATTCAAAAATCCTTTGAACGCCCTTTCAAGAGAGAAATAGCACAGGCAATTGGAAATAATAAATAAATGCGGTCACATATGCGATTTGTATTTCCCCAATTATAGAATTAACCACGCGGCGAAATTGAAGTTTTTTTTAAAAACAAAATGCATTGAACGAAATAAAAATTGCTATATCTGACAGCACCTTAAGTAGCGGTAATTTTTTTTTCGTGCTTTTCTAGCACACGCGTTGTTTGTTTGGGCTTGCAACTATTCGCACATTGTCGTATAAGAGGGAATTAACCAAAGTTCGGTCAGTTGGTGACTTTCAATTTGTTTTTTGTTCAATCTAAAAATAGTAAATCCCTCAATTACTTTATTAGGCTTACCTTCAAATTTTAGAACGATCATCTAAAGTGGAGACGAGAAAAAGCAAGATAGCTGAGGATAGTTCAATCGAATTTCCACCGCCAAAGCAAACATAAATTCGCAATGTGATTCTCTTTTGGTTTCGGCGTAATTTATAACCAACGCAAATATTCAGTGAATGACAAATTGCATATGGAACGATTGCACCGTCTTTAAGTGGCTTCGAAGATTTCAGACCGAACATTTTCCGTAGAGGACGAGCCCCGAGAAGGTCGACCAAAATCTTCCTCTGATGGCGCCAATGTAGATCTGGTGAATTCCAAAACTATTGACACGACATGATTGCTAATGAATTGGGATTGTATGTTATGGCTCTATCGCGAATATTAAATAATCATCTGGTCTACACGAAGAAATCTGATCGATGGGTGGGTACCATGAATTTTAAATGAGTCCTAAAAACAGGAACGTGTGCATTTTGCTAAATTTTTCCTAAATTCGTAAATGGTCAGTCTGGGAACTTTATTAAAGTTGTTACTGGCGACGAATCTTGGCTCTGTAAGTACAATCCAGAAACCAAGCATCATTCCATGGAGCCCAACAGGAGCAAACCCACCCGTAAAATCTATGCAACAAAGATCAGCAGCAAGAGTAATGACACTTTACTTCACTCGGTCTAAAATCGTAGCTGCTATTCCACTGAAAAAGGTTCAGACAGTAACTGCAAAATGGTACACCAAAGATTGTTTACCAAAAGTTTTAAAAAATTTGTTGGAAAACAGGAAGAAAGAGGATTTGCAGCGCTACTTTTTACCTCATAACAACGCGCCATCCCACACTTCTGAAATAATGAGTAATTTTACAGCGATCTGTGGGAACGAAGAAAAACGTCCAGCACCGGATAAAGCACCTTGTGATTTCTGGTTATTTCCAAAAATAAAAAAAATATTTTAATAGAAAAGGTCGTTAATAGCAACAAGGGGATAATTGATGCGGTTAATGCTGAACTTGATAAGCTTAAAAACCAAGATTTTGAAGACTGTTTTCAGGAGTGGATCTATAGGCTTAAGAAATGTATTGAAATCAATGGCGATTATTTAGAGAAGGTAAACAAAGACAAAGATTGTGCATAAATAAAAAAATATCGTTTTTCTGGTCAACTTGCCGAACTTTTGTAATCCCCTCGTATATGTGCATATATATGTATAGATTTTTTTTTTTGAATGCAACAGTCGATTCATGAAAAATTGAATAATCATCAAAGTTGCTTAACAAGTGAGACGAGATGGGCGGACTGAAATACAATGTATGTATGCAGGTGCGTGAAAAAACAAAGCAGTTGGCCAAAAACAAAAACAACAACAACAAAAATTAGTAACAGGTTAATTGCACTTAATTATTATTATTGTTGTTGTTTGTCAATTTGTTACAAAGTAGATACGGTTATTTAAATATAAAATGCATTTATTTGCATATGTGATCATTTCATGTATACGTGCATATGTATGTATGTATATATATATATATATATATATATATATGTATGTATGTATGTATATATATATATATGTATGTATGTATGTATATATATGAATATACGAAGAAGCGTTTTATGTTGTTCTTTTAGCCGTAAAAATATTTTTCAAAGCAGTTTGTGTGTCCCTTCCTTGGCCGGATAAAAAGCCGCCTGTCGCCGGAACTTTTGGATTTTAGTCGCCTCTTACACCAAGTATGCCTTACCGCGGAAAAATTCTTGAATCCCTATACCGTAGAGGAACGGTATCATCAGTCAAAGTTAGAAGAGTTGTCACTGCATCTCCCCTGATTATTTTTCAAAATATTCAGATAATTATTATGGATCTTTCAATTAGCTTATTTGTGACCTCATAAAAAAATGGTTTCTCTTTGTCTTCATAACACGCCTTATTATACCTCTCAACTCTTCTTTTATTATATAAAGAGGTATTAATCACCCGAGCCAGATCTGGGCTGTAGGGTGGGGGATTAAAAATATCGAGGCCCACATTATGCAGGGCAGTGAGCACACGCGCTTCTGTAGGTTGTATCTTCTTTGGTCGAGCATCGGCGGCCCATTATATGTAGGCCATACGTTGGTTATATTGGGGTTGAGTCTGGATAAATAGGAGTTTAACCTGCTACAATATTCAGACCTGAATTTTGCCAGTATTACGCGGGACTCTCTTGACGGCTCGAGCTCCATTCACAGGGAGAGAGTTCTTGAGTTCTTACGACATTCATGCCACGGGCAAATTTTTGAGCCCCTAACCCGCAGTTGTTGTCGATACGCCGTCCGTCCAACGGTTGTTGTATAGGATTCTGAATACAGAGTTTTAGGTCTCGTATTCCTGTTCTGATGTGCTTGGGTGGAGGTTCGGCTGCTAATATATGTATGTGCTCTCTACGGTAGCATCCCAGAAGAAATTGCTTGCACAGCAAAGCATTATGCTCCTTGACTCGTAGCATAGATGCTTCACACATCAGAAGGTTTCCAATCACGGTCCTGAGGGTGGTGGTTTGGCAGGCTTATAACTTCTTCAACTGTGTCTCGCTAGTTTACGACCGGCCGGCGATTTTTCTTGTAGGTTGACAGCAATGTTTCTTTATCTTTTCCCCAAATGCTGCCGGCTAACGCTTTGATGATTTGATTGTGGCTTTTGCGGAATGAAGAAGTACAGGCAGGCTGTTTATAGTCGGAATTTTTACGCCATCTATATATACATTGAGTTCGAGCCGGTACTCTTCCGTCTAGAAAAAAGGGTAGACAGAATTTCGGAGATTGTAACTGTAATTATCTTTCTGATCGAGATATCAGTTCACTTTCGAGCATAAGTCATCAATATCCTCGCTAGACGCCAATATCGAGCAATTATCAGCATATGAAATTATTGAAACTCATGGTGGAGGAGCCTCGAGATATACATAGATGTTATACATAGATGTTAAGAGCACCAACCTGAAGAAGCTGATCCCAGCTTGTACCGCTAGAGTAGAGTTATCGGACGTTATGTTGTTGTTGTTGTAGCGGTTCACTAGCCCCGCTTAGGGTTAGACCAGTTAGTCTAAGTGACCGAGGTCATCTAACAGGAGGTTCAGGAGCTATTTCGGGTTCTAGCCAGAGGGAAAGGGGTGTTCAGTGCCTGTCTGTACATTGTCCTTTAAATATAGTACTGCGTTTCTGATGAGCCTGGGTGGAAGTTCAGCCTCTATAAGATACCTGTTGTGATGCTCCCTGTGCTCCTTAACTCGTAGCTTAGATGCTTCACTGTGCAAGTGAAACTTAGGGGATATCAGAAGCTTTCCTGTCGCTATCATAAGTGCGGTGGTTTGGCAAGCTCGTGGCTTCTTCAACTGCGTCTCGTTCGTCCCCGGTGCCCAGATCGATGCAGTATATTTGACGCTCGGATGTTATAATTCTTTGTTGTTAACTAGTTTCCTCGGTTTTAGTAGTGAGGCTGCCCTACCCATTTTCCACATGTCGGGTGTTATTAGGGTGGTGTCGTCGGGTTTGACAACCTTCTTTCAAGGGTGCATACCTAAATTTAAATATTTCACTACATAAAAATATAAAAGTATAATTTTTAACTTTTGTCACGTAGCCATAAATTGCTGAGTTGCTTAATCGACAATCAAAATGGGAGAATATAAAGCAAGTACAATTCGATGATTAGACATACATATACATGTATGTACATATGTATAAGATAGTTTTTTTTTTGCTTCTTCACACCTCAACAATATTGCTAAGCGCCAATGCCAATTGAACACTTCTGTTTTTCCACTTTCAGCTGACACAACAGACAGGCGAGTTGACGAAAATAATTGGCTGGCGCCAACAACCGAATTGAGTAGCAACAAAAAAACTGAAAAAAAGAAACGCTGCATTTTTTACCTACCGCTTTCGCACATCTTATTCGTACAGTAACCGTTGCAATTAACGGCTGCGTATCGCACGCATTAAACGCTTAAACGCGGCGTAACGTATCGCTGCCAACAAAGAAATGGCCGAACTACCCGCGCCTACTAGTGATTACCTCCATCGTTCGATCGACCACCTGCGCTCCATGAACGAACGCAACGTTCTCTCCTCATTGAGCCATCACTTGACGCCGGTCGAGTTACGCAATGCGGCACAATTGGCAGCGCACGACTACAAGCCTTTCAATATCAATGAATTTCGTCAGAATGTTGAACGTTTAGATTATTCATTAAAGAACGGACTCATACAGCAGCAGCAGCAATTGCTGGCCGATCATCAACAACAACAGCAGCAGCAGCAACAACAACAACATCAGCAACAGCAGGCGCATGAACAACAGCAACAGCAGCATCATCAGCAGCAGCAGCAGCAACAACAGGTTCAGCAACAGACCGCACATCAACAACAGCAGCAACAGCAACAACAACAACAGCAACAGTTGCAATTAAAACAATCGTACAGTCCGCCAAATTCACCAGCCACGCCCACCATGACCGAGCAACCGGAACAAAAGGTAAGGGACAGAGAGAGTTAGCATATCGAAGGCATGGACTGAAAAGTCCCTTGTCTGGATTTGTTCAAAGTATTCTTTATTCTTCAACGAAATCTTCATCAAGTGAGACCTACCAGAAAAAAATTGGTCAAGTTCAAGTACATAAATTTCTTCAACACGTTCATGTTTTTGGTGAACAATCAACATATCATTATCACCATCAAACGCTCATGCATGCAAAGCCAATAGTTCTTTTTTGATGTTATCGCACCATCATCTCTCAATAAGAAAGATCCAATGACCCCGCCGGACAATAAACCGCGCCAAACAGTTACATGTTAGGGATGGAGAGGCTTTTCAGCAATAAATTTTGGGTTTTCGAAGTCCCAGATGGGACAATTTTGCTTGTTGAGGCCATCGCGGTAGAAATAGGCATCATCAGAAAACATGATTTTTCGATGAAATTTTTATAATGAACTCTAATAATTTCAATGCGTTGTTGGGATGTGTATCGTTCCATTTTTATTTCTAGCGTAGTTTTTACTTGTCGAACTTAAAAAAAATTACAACCTTAAAAGTGCCATCTGCCAGAATAGCAGATTATGTGAAATAATACCTATTATTGGAAAACCCTTTATTTGCATTAACGACATGTTTATTTCTAAGATTTTGGCGAGATCAATTAGTATTAAAGCCAAAAAAAAAAAAATGAAATGAAAACTTTTCGGTAATTTTTTGTCAGATTAATTAATTTTGTTTGTCCTGAATGACTGGCTGATCAACTCACAGCCTAAACCACTGATCGTACAGATCTCAAACTTGTAGGGTTTGTTCTGCGTAAGTTGTAGGCATCCGATATGAAATGATTTTCAAAGAAGTGGATCTGTGACGGAAAATTACTCTTTTCTTAAGTCGTTCGATTTACACTAAATTTGTTCCACAAGAAGCTCTTGGACTAGATTCAAATGGCAAACAGCTTTATTTCTGGAAAATGAACTTATGATCGATCGGGATTTTGGAATAAAACCCACAAAAAATCTCACTGAAACTATCTTTGAATTCCATGCAAACGAAGTCTACTCCACTACTAAATAAAACGCAGATATTTTTTTTTTTATTTTGTATATCTTTGAAATTTATTTTGTTTTTAATGCATTGAAGATGATTTTTTTTCTGGTAGTAGTGGAAGACGAAGACGAAACACGATGGAAACCCCGGTGCTTTAGCGACCATGTAAGGCTCGAGAGCGTCATGTGTTGCCTCCGGGAATTTGCATGAAGAAAAGTGAAACATAAATACACAACTGAGAAACAAAACATTTATAAATCCCATTGCCTCATACATACAACAAAATCTACAGCTTCGACATTGATACTATAGAACCCTTATATACATATCTATTTAAATATAAATTAAGAAGACTTCAATATTATTTGATGATGAATGGAGCAACAATAGCAACATGCGTGTAGTCAATTGCTCCTATGGTGTTTTTTCTTCCTCTGCCGAACTGGGAAATTTTATTTTTCGTCCCTTCATCTTTACAATAAGTAAACTTCTGAAAAGAGACAACTGACTCATGGGCAAGTGAAAGTTGTTGCCTACACATTTTTGGTATAAGCCATACCCAAAGAAATTTAAAGCCACCAGCATTATTATGATTAAAGACAGTGATGTTTTTCATCTCTGAGATGAATGCAAATTTTGAAAAAATGTGTCATCACTTAACGAAAGTGGAGAGCTAGGGTCTCTTCTTCTCTAGTGGCGCAAGCGATCCCTACTTTCGCAATTTTCCTCTTCGCCTAGCAACAACAATATAAGTAAAATATGCATATTCCATTGAAACTATTTGTTATTCACAAACAGTAAAAAGATGTTTTATTTGTAAAAAAAAAAAAAAAAAACAATGTCAAGAGCATTTGACATGTTGACAATTTTTCAAGAAAAGAGATTTTATTTATGACACCGTATTGAAAAATCTTGATAAATTGTCAATCTTGATAAATGAGCAAGATGATGAATTTATCAGGTGCACAGAATAGACCTGTAAGTTCTAATTGCATACATGTTAATACGTTTTAAATATGCACGTATGTATCCTATTATGACCTATTAGGAGACATTGCAGTGCTAATATATATGTATGTAACTCGAAAGTCTCCTCTCAAGGGTTATTTATTTGTGATCACGGGGAACTTTTTGAGGCATGCATGTATGTTTCCTTGAATGTAAAGTAACAATAAAAGTTAGACAAAATACAGGAAGCTACATAAAATACATCTATGTATATGTAAATACAATATTATAATAGGGGAATTAGTTCAAAAATTAAAATACATACATATATAATAAAAAGCTCTATAAGTATTCGTTTATGACACAAACTGTTTAGAATAGTTCGGAGTGTAAAGGATTATTTTCAAAATTTTCGTTAAAAATTCAATTATTTTACTTACTGTACATATCTCTTAATGCTTTTAGTAAAATTTAATTATCCAAAATCTAAGCACAGAAACGAAAAGACTAAGATGAAAATGCCATGTGGCTTTGCATTGGGTTACATTATTTCCCCTTCACATCATTTTATCATCGTAAAGAGCTTCTGATCTGTTCCTGATCTAGTTTACCTTTATAAGTATTCGTTTCTCTTTTTGTTCTCGTTTTAGTACGATCCACATGCTGCCAATTTGGAACAGCAACAACAACAACAACAACAGCACACCGTAAGTCACAAACAACGCAATCAACAAGGATCCCCCGAAGGCCGCGACGTCAAGCCCTACAAATGTACACAATGCCCAAAAACGTTCGCCAATTCATCTTACCTATCACAGCACACTCGCATACATTTAGGCATCAAACCGTACCGTTGCGAGATCTGCCAACGCAAATTCACACAGCTGTCGCATCTGCAACAACATATCCGCACCCATACCGGTGACAAGCCCTACAAATGCCGTCATGCCGGTTGCCCGAAAGCCTTTTCGCAACTCTCCAATCTGCAATCGCACTCACGCTGCCACCAAACGGACAAACCATTCAAATGTAACTCCTGCTATAAATGCTTCACCGACGAATTGACGCTTCTAGAGCACATACCCAAGCATAAAGACTCGAAACACTTGAAGACGCACATCTGCAACCTGTGCGGTAAGTCGTATACGCAGGAGACCTATCTGCAGAAGCATTTGCAAAAGCATGCCGAGAAGGCGGAGAAACAGCAGCAACGCCAGGCGAACTCAACAGCTAATGCGCAACACCATGTGCCCGCTGGCGGTATTGGCCTCAATTTACAGCGACAGGTGGTGATGAATGCCGCTGCCGCTGCAGCCACAAGCGATCCCAATTCGTATTGGGCGAAGGTTGGTGCTGATAGTGCTGTAAATGCCGCACAACTGGCGGAGGCTATACAGCAGCAACAACAACAGGCTGCAGCGGCCGCAGCAGCTGCAGCCGCGGCTGCACAACAACAGCAGCAACACGCACAAAATGGTTACAATTTCGCCGCGCTGCAACAGCACCAACAACAGCAGCAGCAGGAACTGTTGCAACATCATCAGCGATTGGTGAATGGTGGTGCGGGTAGCGGTGGCGATAGCGCCGGCAGCGGCAATACGCCCAACCATTCACATTCGCCTAACGAAGAGGGCGAGGATTTGGTGATGCGTCAAACGCCGCATCATCTCCAACAGCAACAGCAGCAGCAACAGCAACAACAACAGCACCACCATCAGCAGTCCCATTCGCCCAATCCCCTGCTTATGGGCAATGCAGCAGCAGCGGCAGCGGCGGCGGCGGCTGCAGCCAACTATGATGTGAAAACGACCAGCGCATTTACGCCAATCAACACGGCGCCACCGCATTTGAATGCACTAGCTGCACAACAACGTCCACCCGCCGCAGCAGCGTACCTGTATCAGCAAAATGCCGCAGCGGCAGCCGGTTTTCCAACCCAACTCATATCTCTACATCAAATACGCAACTATGCGCATCAGCCAAGTGCAGCAGCAGCGGCCGGCCTCTTGGCGAGCGATCACTTGCTCGGCTTGACCGGTGTGACTGCGGGCGGTGCTGGCAAGGATAAGGGTCAATAGTACGCCGCACATCATGGCAATAGTGATAGCGGGGGCGGGTATCGGTCGAAGAAAATGAAAAAGAGAACTCGTGAACGCAGTTGAGTTGACTGCGGGACGCCGGATGGCAGGAGGTCACACAGCGAACTTACTGCAGCGTTTGAGAATGCCACTAACAATAACAATAACAGCAAACGCAACAACAAGAACACCAACTCAGGTTATAAAGAAAAAGAAGAAGAAGAAGAAGAGGAGGACAAAGCATTAAAGCGTATGGGAAAAGGCAAAGAGAAGTATTAGTCGGTTAGTGCATCCCAGCAAAGTCATATACAGTACATAATAACTGTAGATATTCGCAAAGATATGTATACTGCTACAATTACAGATTACTACTTCCTCTACGCTGCTTGTAATTTCTGTTTTATGCATGTAAATAATACCACCTACAATGCGGATTCATACATATTGTACATACATACAAATGTATTTATATAAGTCTGCATGTATTTAGAAATTAGAAATCAGGCCCCTGCGTCTTTTGCACTTTATCATGGCAGGTGCTTCTTAAATTCTACTTATACGTACGTATGTATTCTTCCAATATGTTACATACACGCACAAACAGAGTGTACTATTACTATATATAACTATTGCTTCGTTGCGCCTGCGCGCATCTACAGTATACAAATGCTATAACAAATTGTAGCTCATAATTAATGTAATTACTTGTAGTTACCGTTTAGCATTTAGATAATCGTATTGTAGCTAAAAGTAGTTTGATAAGCCGAATTTACTTTATGTATTGTAAGTATCTTTTAAGGTTAGTCTGTAGAAGTGAAGAAGTGTATACACACTAGTATATAGAAATCATATGTACATATGTATATACAAACGTGTATGCAACTTTATTTCATTATTTGTTTGTATTTCGCATTCTTAATGTATTTGTATACGATAATATTTTTTTAAACTCTCTAATTTTTAAATACAAAAAATTTAATTTTATTAAAAAAAATTAAATTTATTCAAAATTGTATAGTTTATTAAGCTGTCTTTATGAAATGATTTGTGTATATACCCACATATATACTCGTTTTTATAGTAACGAATTTATCAATCTGAATAAAATTTCGATAGATTTTTATGAAAAGAAAATTTTTTTTAGTATTCTTATTATTCCTGTTGGCTTTTTTGTTCCAATATGAATGTAGACTATTCGGATCGAACGTCTAGGCAACGTGGGCATTACATTACATTGAAAGCAGCAGTGGCAAATAAGGGTTCTTTAGTATTTTCTGTAAATGTGGAGGCGGTTAAAGACGAAATGAATTTTCATCAGAATCTATTTTTCATGTCAAAAATACACTCGAAGGTGCTGACAATCTCTGTATGATTTTGATCAGGCGAATTCATAAAGGTGAGAGCAGGACAACCAACACAACAATTACCGTGTATTTTGTTTTTGTTTTCAGTGTAACAATTATTTAATTCATGACAAATTCAGACGATTCACTTTTGTCAAATTGAATTAATAATTCAAAATAACAACAGCAGAATAAGATCACGTTAAACGTGACCGGACAGCTATGGATTCATGGAAAAATAGATTCACTATAATAATTTTTACCACAGAAGAAGATTCTATAGAACAATAACACTTTTTTGTCTTGGGCTAGCATCAGCGAAAACTAACAGTCTCGTTGCTTTTATTATGCACTCGAAATTTTTCGAACATTTGAGAAAGTGAAGATGCAAGCTTCACAATAGCGGTATCAAAACGGGCATATTACCTTAAGTGCGTTGGTCACTGATTAATAGCCGCATTAATTCAACTCAAATCAAAATCGGAACACATTCCTTTATTTGAAAAAAGTCACAAATCTTATTTGAAAATTTTCAACTATACAATTAGAAATTCAAAAAAAAAAAAAAATCAGAATATAAACAAACATACAAAACATAAACGAACATTTTGACTACCTTTACACTGAAGCGAATTAATTAATGAAAAAAGTTGAGTTCGCTGCCCTAGTAACTTCACCTTGTTAAATTCGCCTTGATTCTTATTAACTTTACAGTGAGATATGTGTCAGAATTCTGTGATTTCGCTCTAATGACGCATTACAATCAGTAAAATGTGTTTTTCCAGAGATGCTCAACAAACGAAACGATGCAGTTTCATTTGGTTAATATAAAATGAAAACTAAACCTACCGCAATGATTTTGTTTCGTTTCGCCGCAGTTTTATCGAAACGAAATGAGATTGCCAATGATGAAAACGCACAAAATCAGTTAACTTTAAAATGGCAGCCTATTATGATTTAACAGCACACTTCAATTTTAACATTTAACACTATCTGCTAACGTTTTTTTAAAGCGAAATTTATCATTGCACTGCAAACTTGATTTTTACCAACGAAAAGTTGCTTTGGCAGCGAACTTTTCATTCATTGTAAATATGATTTTTCAGTTTATTCTATGTTTGCATTAATTTAATTTAGTATTTTATTTGTAAGCGTGAAAATCTTGCGAATTATGAGTTTGTGATTTAGGTAAAACGTTTTTAAAACCCCAATTCATTTTCCATGATTTCGACAGACGCTACAATAAAACAAAAATAAAATACACGGATATGATTGCTTGCTATAACTTCCATTCCGCCGTATTACATAAACAAAGTATTGGATGAGTGCATAAGTTCGTGCCCGATTCCGCTGGATGCCGTTCGAATCGTTTGAGAGTGGCGTTCGTGAAAG